CCAGGGAGGAGGAGGAGGAGGAGGATGCTCAGCCCAGGAGCCGGCGGCTGCCGCGGCCCCGCGGCAGAAGGATCGGGGATTATTTACAGCTCCTTAACGGAGCGCGGCGAGTCAGGCAGGGCTGCGTTAGGCAGGGCTCAGTTAGGCAGGGCTGACCTTTCGGCGCTGGAGACAAAGGGAGGTGTCAGCCGGCGCGGGATCGCTGTGCGGGACCCTCCCCGGCCCGCCGGGACGGAGCGGGAGGCCGGACCCTGGCGGGGGGCTCGGGAGCGGCGGGGCCGGCCAAGGCCACGGAAAGCCAAGCGCGCCGGGATCCCAGCCTGGGAAAAGGAGGGATCGGATTCCTCCCTGCGCGGCCCCGCCGGACAAACTCTTCCGGGTGGGGACTCCTACGCGCCGCTCCCTGCCCTGGCACACCAGCAGCTCGCCGCTTCCCACAGCCCCCGGCCGCTCCGGCGGCAGGAAAACACCGGGATACGGCACCAAAGAAAAGCTGGGGGGGTTGGAGACTCGCCCCCGGCACCCCCGAGGCTGCGCTTGGCTCCTCTGCCGGCTCAGCCCAGCTGCCGACTCATCCCTGCCATGGAAGCGGAGAGGGAAAAGTTTCCCCGTCAGCACAAAACACCGACAACTGGCCAAACCTTGGGCTTGGCTTTCCTGCTGCCCTGGCCAGGAGTTCACCCTGCGGGGACCCGCCAGGTCCCGGCCCGGGGGGTGCAGGGGATGGGCCCACACCCTGCATTAGGGGACTGGGGTGTCCCCAGGGGCTCCCCCGGACCCTCCTGCTGCAGGGAAGGAAGGGCCTGCCGAGACCAGGAGCTCTGCCCCTTGGCACTGCCCAACGGGAGATCCTTCCCATGCCCCTTCCCTCGCTCCAAAGAGATCTAGCTGCGGGATTTGGGCAGAGGAACACGTGCAGGGCTGGTGTCATGGCTTTGTGTCCCCTCCCCAGCACGGACCCTCCTGGTCCCTACAGCTTAGGACTGGATGCCATGATCCAGAAGCCCAGACATCCCAGGGAAGCAGCCCAGGAGTACCTGGTATCCCACCAGGCTCCCCACATCCCTCACCACCTTCCTGGGCAGCAGTGACCTGTTCCCCCTTGCCAGCCCCTCGCTCCCTGCTGAGGTGGTACAGGCAGAGGGATTCTCCTGGCCAGGATTCCCACAGCCCCAATTCCTGACCCTCTCCGGGGCACATCGCTGTGCATCAGCTTCCCACATTTAAATCCAAGACCTCTCCCAGAAGCTCACAAATGCAGGAGGACAGGGAACTCATCTGTTACTCACAGAGAGCTCTCACAGGATTTAAGTTGCTTAATTAGTGCTTTAAGAGAGTCAGCAGCCGAGTGGGTGACACCCCAGCGGGATGTCATGTGCTCCACAGGGCTCAAGCTTCGCTTTCCTCCTCTCCTACCCAGGGTTATCTCATTTCTTTTTTTTCCCTTTTCCATTTTCTAATGAATAAACAGAGGGGCAGGTTCTATAAGTCCATGGAAACTCTATTATCCCTCCGCATTAAAGCCAAAAGCAACTAATTAAAACATCAAAGTCAGAGGTTTCATTAGTTCGGCCTCAGCGCTGGCAGGAGGTGACAGGGAACGAACGTGGCTCCCACAGCCAACTGCTCCGAGGGACCCCGAGGCTGGACCCGCACCCTGAAACACGTTCCCTGTCCAGTGCCACCCTTTCCCATCAAAGCTGCTTCCCCCAAAAACATCTCTGTCACCTGCACCATGAGATGGGTCTTTATTCCCACCCCACACAACACCAGGGTGAGAGGGATGGGGTCGAATTTCCAGCTCACCCTCACCAATCTATTTCCTCCTCTGCACACGGGATCCCCACCTACATGACACCTCTGCCTCCATCCACCCTGAGCAGGAATGCTCCAGGCAGCCAGCAGGCATCCAACAGCATCCCTCACCCTGCCAGGATCCACTCCCAGCAGTCACCAGCGAGCCACAGGAATTGGGGAACACCAAGGAGGAGTCACCTCTTTGTGCTGCAGAGGCCACCTCCCCATCCAAGGACCTGCAGCCCATTGCCACGGTCACACTGAGCATCAGCCACCTCCTCATCCAAGGATCCACATCCCTTGCCATGGTCACACCGAATATTGGTCCCTCCCCATCCAAGGACCTGCATCCCATTGCCATGGTCACACCGAGCATCCCCACATCCCTCCCCGGGCTCCTGGTCCCTGCCACAGCTGCACTCGGAGCCAAGCGGGATCCCCGGGGCTTTAACCCAGGTTTTCCTCCGGCTCCTTTCCCAAGCACAGCCCAGCCGTCCCCGGCGGGGAGGAGCCGTGGGCGAGGAGGAAGCCAGAGCTGCCAGCCCTGGGCCCTGCGAGGAGCAGCGGATACGGGGAGCAGCAGCAGCAGCAAACAGGCGGCGGCAGCGAGTCCCCGCTGCAGAGATTTGGGTCCCCCCAGTCCCTGCAGGCTCCATCCTGTGCTGCTGGAACAGGCGCGTGCGACCACTGCGGGAAAACTCCGCTCGTGGCCTAGCGGGGAGGAGAAACAGGAAAAGGGGAAAAAAAACCAACCCCAGAGAGGAGCAGGGAGCGTGCAGAGAATCCGCAGCCCCGGCGAGGGGCAGCTACGGAAGGAGCAGGCTCGTCTCCCTGGGCAGGCAGGGGAGGAGCAGGCTCGTCTCCCAGGGCAGGGAGCCTTGGGGACAAGGGGAAACTCCAGGCTCAGCTCCACCCCGGCGCTTTCGACTGCAAAACAATAGTGGAGAGGAGCAGCCGTCCCTCCCTGCTCTTACTCATCCTGCCCAAGGACCTGTGCCACCCTTCGGCTCACCCCTCCCTGCCCCTCCTCTGCCCGGGGGCTCCGGCATGGCGGGTCCCGGCTCCAGAGGCGCAGGCGACGGCAACAGATCCCCCGGGAACGGATCCGGACCCACGGCACGCGAGCGGCGAGCCGGCAGCGCAGGGAATTCCCTCCGTCATCATCTCAGCCGAAAAAAAAAAACCAACACCCAACAACACCCTTCGCCCTCTCCAGCCTCTACCTGCAGCGCTCGCACCACTTTCCCAGCGCCAGCAATCCCCTTTCCAGCCGGGAAGGAGCCGAGGCTTCGCGCAGGGCTCGTACGGGGCTGCTCCCAGCGCAGCCCCCGCGGCGACCGTGGGATGGGGATGGAGCCTGAACCCCGAGGGGCCGCTCTGGGGGACGGGGAAGCTCTGCCCCCGTGCCCTGGGAGCTTCCCAGCTCCACCTGCCCCATCCCAGCAGTGGCACCTCCATATCCGAGTGCATCCAGCCTGGCCGGGGGGAGTCACAGGACACGCAGGGGTTGGGAGGCCTCCAAGACCACCCAGCCCGCACCGTTCAGCCCGGGAGGGCCCTCACTGCCCTGACACGAGGGGCACCCCCTGACCCAGCACCCAGCGCAGCCACCCCAGGGGCCGGGGGGGATTTCCCGGGGAGGGTCATCCAAGGGGGCAGCCGGGGAGGGATCCCCGCGGCGCGGCGGGGTGGGGCCGGAGCGCGGGGGCGTCAGCTTCTCTCGCTCATGATTTAATAATTTAGGTGCGTTTCAGTGCTCAGGGAAGCGAAAGATTGAGGGCAGTGTCTGGAGCCTGGCAGGGCGCAGGCAGCGGCACAGCCCACGGCCGTGGCATCGCGCCCCTCCGGAGTGGGGGCACAGCTCGGTGTCCCCCAGCCCCAGGACGGCTCTGGATGCCCCATGGGGTGCTCCGAGCACTCACCTCCGCCCCAGTTCGCTGCCCCCGGGTCCTGCCCGTCCACCCACGTCCAGGGCTGCCTGTCCACGTCCACGGGCAGAAACTGGCTGCACTGGTTTGAGCTTCGCAATCCAAACCCCCACCCAAGCTCAGGTCTCCAGAGATAAGAGCACAATAACCTATTGTCCCTCCTCCCCTCCCAACATCTCCTCTTGCCTCTGGCAAAGCAGGGAGGGACCACCCAGCTCCATGCGGTCCCCCCACCCCCACCGCCGGGGACCCCACGGGGGGCACAGCCCCACCGAGCCAGGCCAGGGATGCTGGGAGGCTCCACAGCCCGGGCTTGGATGCAGGGAGAGGGCTGGGGGCAGAGGCAGGAGGAGGTGGACGAGGCCAGAGCCTGGCTGGGCTTCTAATTTATTTCCTTATTTATTTTTTTCCTCCCCACTCCTGTTTTGTGCCGTGGATCTGACCGGCTGGGTTGGTGCAGGCAGGAGGGAGACGTGCCCAGCCCTGGCATGGGCAAACCCCACGCATCCCACCCTCCCTGCGTCCCACCCCGCATGCCACCCCCAGCCCCACGCACACCCCACCCGAGCCAAGGAGCAGCCCCCCTCCTGCCCCACGGGTGGGGAAAACCACCCAAACCACCCACGCAGCACCTTCCCCGCTCTGTCCTTGGGCTGCCGCAAGCCCCCCTCCCCTTCCCCCGCCTCTTCCTTCCTCCATCACCCTCCTCCTCCTCCCCGCAGTGCCACAACACGCTGCCTTCCAAAAAGCCCACAGCACGCGCGACCGGGAGCCCCACGCCCCCCCCCTTCAAGGGCAGGCAACAAGTTGCAGGATACGACCGGAGAGTCCTCCCCACACCAGATATCGGGGGGCTGAGGGAGTTCCCCCCCCCTCCCCAAGATGTTTGGGGGCTGCAGCGCCTCGCAGCCCCCCACGCACCACAGCGGACGGACCGCGGCGATCCCACCATCACACCCACCTCCCACGTGGGACCGGGGTGGGGGGGGATCCACGCCAACCCCCCCCTGCTCTGGGGACCCGCGCCAAGCCCCGCCATCCCACCTGCTGCACTGGGACGAACTGGGGTGGGTGAAAGCGCCGCGACCACCGCCCAGCCCGGGCGGGCTGGGCGGTGGTCGCGGCGCTTTCACCCACCCCTGTGCACCCCTCACCTACAAACAACCTCCCCCCGGGGACCCCGCACCGCACTCCCGTGACTCCCCCCATGCACTCAGCACCTCAACCCCTCCCGGGACCCCCGGACCCCACCCCGGGGTCCCCCCGCGCACTCACCGGCTCAGCTCCCGCGGCGCCCGGCTGGCGGCGGAGCCCCCCCGGCTGGCCATGGGATGGAGGGGGAACGGTCCCGGAGCTAACGGGAGAAAATGCTTGTCATGGCAACCCCCGTGCCGTGCGGGGCCGTGCGGGGCCGGGCCGAGGAGGGAGGGGACGGGGGGAGGGAGGGGGAGGGCTCGTCCCAGCCCGCCGGGGGAGGGGCTCCCTTAAGGTGGTTGCACGCCCCGACGGCTGCTTAAGGGGGACGGGAAGGAGACGGAGAGTGGGGGGTGAAACCCCGGGCAGTGGGAGGACCCCACAGGCAGAGTGGGGGGTGCACCCCCAGAAAGTGTGGGAACACCCACAGGCAGAGTGGGGACCCCCCGGGCAATGTGGGCATCCCCCTGGGCAGCACAAGGACCCCCCCTGCTAGAGCGAGGAGAGCACTCCTGGGCAATGTGGGGACCCCCCAGGCAATGTGGGGACCCCCCCCGGGCAGTGTGTGCACCCCTGGGCAATATGGGGGCACCACAACGTGTCCCCCCCCCCTCGGGGAGCTCTGGCACTACCCATGGCACTGAGGCTTGTGCACTTCCAGACGTGGGCACCCCAAGAAGTGAGGGCTCATCCTCGTGCCCAAACCCCTCCCCAGTCCAAGTGTGGGGAAGGCAGGAGTAGCACCGTGACCTGTGGCAAAATCGGGGCTCCTTGCGGGTTAAAGTGGCTTTGGGGTTCCTCGTGGGCACTGTGGTTGATGCCCAGGGGTTGGGGTGTGCCGGTCTGACACCCCCTGAGAGCGACTGTCCCCTCGAGGAGGGGACACACCCCGTGGGCCACAGAGGGTCCAGCATGAAGAACCCCCCCTGGGCAGATCCGACCCTCAGCCCTTTTTTAAAGGCACCGGGATAAAAATCCTCCTTGAATCGTCCCTGAGGGGTGGACACGCCGCGGCCGTGCTGGCCATGCACGGTGGCATCGGGGCACGGGGCAGCAGTGCCGGGCGTGGGCACCTTAACTCGGCCCTCGCCCTCCCCGCAGCCCCACGTCCGGGCACGCCGCGGGTTCGAGTTAAACCAGTGGAACATCTGTGCACGCACAAGCCCTAATTAGCACTCGGAACGGTTTTTTCCCCCCTTGAGGGCCTGCACCTCGAGAATTTCGCATTCCTGAGCGCTCCCAGGTGGTGCTGCAGAGGCCGGGAGAGCCGAGCCCTGTGTGGATCCGGAATTCCTTCCCATGCTCTCCAGGGCCAGTAAAATCCCTTCCACTCGGCTGAGCCAGGGGCCGTTTGGGGGCAGGGGAAATTATCTGAAGTCACCTGAGTGCCACCAGAGCTGCCCGGGTTGGGTGTAATTCAGGCTCCACATCCTGCACAGCACAGAAGGCACCGACCTGCCCCTGGGCTCTGCAGCAGGGGGGAGGAAAGTGCTCTGGGCTGGGAATGCCCCCCATCTCAAGGTGGGGTCCTTGGCATCTTCCTGGGGAGTTGAGGGGGTCATTCCCTCCGAACCCTCCAGGGCTGGAGACTCCCATGACAAGAGCAAACCTTGTGTCTCAAAAAACAAGCTCAGGCACCTTCGATTTAACGGCTCCACACTTGCCCAACACAGAAAGTGGGAATGAACACACGGATTTCAGCCGGTGTCCAGCCCCCCCTCCACCAGAATCAGCCAGCACTGCCCAGATTGTGTCTCAGTGACCACAGAACAGCTTGGAAAAGAGCTGGTGGAGCAGCCTGCAGGCAGTGCTTCCAACGGGCCGGGATGCAAAACTGCTATTGAGACATAATGGCCTTTTAAAACAGGTTTTCTGAGCTTGGAAGGAATCTCTGACCATCTGGATTTGGACTCCTGAAAGGAAATCAGCCTTCCTGCCTCAGGGAAGCTGTTGTTAGCAGGGCAGTTCAGCAATGCTGAGAATTTGCAGCCTCCTTGGACTCCTGGACTTGGGCTGAAATGGGGAAAGGCAGGTTTTACAGCTGGGGCACTTGCTGTCGGGGGAACCAGCCAAAATCCATTTGGAAAACGTGCTTCCCATCCAGTGGCAGGCGGCAATTACAGGGCTGGTGCTCAGCAGCTCCTGCCTGGTGTGTTCCTGTTACACAGAGAGCCATAAACAGGCTGAGAGCCCCTTCCATTTTATAGCTAAGGAGAAGCACATGGAGGAAAAGTGAAAATCCTGGCTGGAGCAGGAGCAGGAGCAGGAGCATCACCTCCAAACAGGCACCGACCTGTCCCCACACACGGCGGCACAGAGGGGGAGAACACGGGAAGAATTCCTTCATGGAGTATTTTGGGGTCTCCTCTGGAGACCCTCCCTGTGCCCCTGTTTCCCAGGATGCTGCCTCTGGTGCTTGCTGGTGCCACCCCTGCTGCTCCATCCCCTTCAGCCTCAGGCCACCTGCTCCTGCTGGGGGGGGACAGGAGGGTTTGCCCTCCCTGCAGAGGTGACAGGGGTGTCCCCACGCTGCTCTGCCAGGCACAGCCGGAAAAGGAAGGAGAAGGACACAACCCTTGAGCCAACAAAGCTCCCACTTGTCCAGCCTGGAGCTGCAGGGAGGGACCTCCCAGGATTAGCAGGGCTCTGGCTGCCACAGCCACGGGGGTGGCAATGGGCACAGGAGGATTTTTGGGTGGCAGTGGGGACAGGCTGCTCCTTTGGCTCTTGGCAGGTGCTCCCAGACGAGCTCCAAGGGAGATGCTGGATCCCTCCCGCAGGGCTGCCCACTCTGTGCTGTGCCTTTGGCCTCCCCATCCGCCTTGGATCACGGCTGGATAGTCAGTTATTCCCTTATCTTCGCCCAGAACTGGCCACATGTGTGGGGAACACATCACCTTTCCCAGCTGGGATCAGCCAGGAATGCTCTGAGCCCTGGCTATGGGAGGGATTCGTGGCAGAGATGCCTGGATGGTGCTCCTTGCTCCTCTGCCCTCCTTGCACCTGACATCCATTGCAGGCCCCTCTGGAAGAGGAGCAGGTTCTCCATCCCGTCCCATCCCAAGAGGAATTTTCCTTCCACACCTCCCTGCAGGCAATTCCTGCTGCTTGGAAAAGGAGCCAAACTCCCACAGTGACCAGCAGCACCTGGGCCCACCCTCAGGGACCTGAACCCTGTGGGCAGCCCTGCTGGGATGGGAATTTCAGCTGTTGTCCATATTTTGGCACCTCTTTTCTTTTCCAAATGCTTTTCTGCTGGATGCTCTGGAGGCAAAGCAGAGCAGTCCTGGGCCTGGGCAGTGTCTGGCCTCAGGGAGACCAGCAGCAACATAAAATAAATAACACCAAAATAGAAAACATCACTCCACCAGGTTCTTCCATTAAAAAAAAAAAAAAAAAAATCAGGATTAGCTGATGAGTTCCCTTTAAACCCAGTATATAATATTTGTATTAATTTGCCTTTAATGCCTCCCAGGCTGGGAACTTGTAGGTGGAGTTTTAGCCCAAAATGAATTAAATCAGCCCGAGTTGTATCAGCCAAGTTACAAACCCATCAAAACCCGAGGCCAGATCCTGATCTCATCCTGGGGGATGTAAATCCAGCGTCTCTCCTCTGGAAGCCACGGGGAGGGTTTTTGTCCCGGTGCCGGTGAGCGGAGCGGGATTGGCCCCCCGGGGTTTCTCATGGAAACACTGACTGCTCCTGAGCACAGGCACAGTCGGGCGGCTGGGAAATCTCTCTCCATCCCAGGGCTAAATATAGGGAGGGAGAGCGCCAGGGATGTGGTTCAGGGATAAATAAACCCTGGAGAGGCTTTGGTGGGAATGCCAGGGGCTCCTGGGGGTCCTGCAGCTCCGAGGTCCCATCCCATGGGACAGGGCAGGGGGACCACAGGGCCCCTGGAGGGTGGCAGAGCTGGCTGAGATGCCCTCAGGTGATGCCTGCAGAGCTGGTGAAAACAGGGTTTGGGGGCTTTTTCCTGCCTCTTCTCCCCCTTTTCCCTCTCCCTGCAGCACCCACAGGTGCCTGTTTGTAGGGCTCAGATTCCTGCTCAGAGCCCACATGATGCCGTGGGAAGGGTCCTATCATGGGTCCCATCGTGGCCACACTGATTCCCCTCTCAGTTCTGGGCTCTCTCCTCATTCCAGGGCAGCTCCCCATGGCTTTGGAGCACCAGAAAAACCCCCCAGCCACGGGGTTGCTAATAAACCATCACCACACTCCTGCTAATAAGCCTCTCCTAGCCCGTTCCTGCTCCCAATTACTCTAACAACCCTGTTAATTTCTAATTAAGCAGCTCCTTCACTGGGGAAAGGGGCTCGACATGAAAAGCAAAACATGAGAGGAGGAATCTGGGCCCGGCTCTGCTTTATGGGTGTAATTAGGAGACAAAATTGTTCGCTCACCTAAGGAATTCATAACCCCAGTGCCTGTGAGCCGACAGCCACGCTGGGTTTTCCCTGGGAGCCCCGTGACTGACGGTGCTTTTCCCTTCCCCACCCCTCCAAATTCCCGTTTGGAGCCACGACAGGCTCTAAATCTATTAGTGCCTGTTTTAAAACCCCTCAATATTTGCCACAGCTGAGGAGGAGCCTCTCGGCCGCTCCTTCCCAAAGCGCCCATGGGCGGGATGAGGGGGAATGCTGTGCCATGGGGATGTGGTGACACCTCAGCAGGGATGTTGGTGTCCTTCCTTCTCCATGGAGCAGCTCAGCAGAGCACCTTGTGCTCAGGGACAGGCACAGTTCCCCCCCTGAGATCTGCAGGACACCCCACTGCCCTCCCCAGGGAGTCGCAGGGAAGCGGCTCCAGGGAAACAGGGAGATCCTCAGCTCCACCTCAAAATGAACATTTTTCCCTCCAGTTCCGACCTCGTTTCATTCCTCACATCAAGGAGGAACCTTGTACTCGGTGTTTGCATCACGGTAACAGCTCGGGGACCTTCGTGGGCCTGAGGAAAGTCCCTGCTGCCGGGAGTGACAACGCGGTGGGTGGTGCTGAAAGGGAGGAGAGAGAAGTGACAGCGCGGGAGAAACGCTCTCCCATCACTCCCGAGCTGTCAGGCCCGAGCTGGGGAGGCGGGGGAGCTCCCGAGTCCTACTTTGGTGCCTTCCTGCCAGAGAAGGGGGTGCCAGGGGGGCTGGAGATGGTCCCAGCCTGGATCCTGGGGGCACCTGGGGGGTGATGCTGCAGAGCCCCTGGGTGGGGAGGGCACAGCGAG